GTTCGAAACAAAATAATTAAAGAAATGCAATAATATAATGAATTAAAAGTTCCCGAATCTCCATCAATAATAAAATAAACACAATGTAAATAACAGAGAAGGTATCAGTGAATACAATAAATATTGTGAATTTAATGTTGGAACAACAATTGTTATAAACTTCAATATAATGATAAGATTACCTTTTCACATTTTTTGAATAAAACACAACAAAATTAATTAATTAATTGTTCAAATTGATTCAATTATAACTTTGATAAAAATTATGTTCTACAAATAATTTTGTTAATTGCGCACCAACAAATAATGATTAGTGTAACTTATAAACAGCAATTTTAAAACACTCAACAAAGTACGTAAAACAAACATAATTAAACAATAAAAAATATGATTTCGTTAATTGATTTTTAATAAACTTTTTTGAAATAAAAAAAGATATCGTCTTAAAAACATTTCAATTTAAAGGAATTTTTCAATAAAGTAATAGACAAAACACCATGTTTGTATTTCATATTGTTGTGTGTGTTTTAGTATGTTTATTGATAAGTTCAAATTTAAAAATTGTTTAACCAGTCGAAAATGTTTTTATTAATGTTGTAAAACCCAACTATAAATCAAAAGTTCAACATAAATTATTACAATTATAATACAACTTCTTCAACGACTTTTATAGTAATAACAATGATGAAGAGAACCAAATAAACAAAATAATACTAATTTACAATTAATTGACTACTCCAAGTCGACAATCTATAAAAATATTTCAATTAACCATATCAAAACTATATAGTTACCATGCTTAACTGATACATTTTAAAATGGTAATTATAAGGCATGACAATAATTTTTATTTTTTTATTCTTTCACACCCGAATAAAAAAGCTTAAGTTGTTTATATCATTATATTCATTGTTATTATTATTGTAAATAATCACCACAAACATGAAAATATAAACATCAGTAATAGTGTTAATTAATAATGGTCTGCCAATTATTATTTTTATTTTATTTATTATTTATAATATTATTACATTTCATTTAGTTAAATAAAATGAATCCCATAATTCAAAATTGGAGTATTAATTCAATTCAAAATAATCAAAACATAAAAATTTGTAAATGAATTGTTCTTATGGTGGGTTAGGTTAATATCATTTTCTATATAGTTTAATAATAATAAATTGTAAATTAATAATTATCAATAAAATATGGTTGTCAAAATATTATAAATAAACTAATAATAAACAACAGAACATTAAAATACATAAAAATAATCTACCATGTAATAATAGCCTGATTAAAAGCCAAGCGCAAGATTTCATAGATGATTTTTTATTATTTTTGAGATTGGGGGTTTTATAAAAACCGATCTAATATTATTTCCCGTTGCCTTACGTCATCAAAGTCTGTTATAGATGTATTATTTGCCGAAATGATTCTTTTATAAAATAATTTGGTATATTATTTGGTTATAACTGGGGTTTTTATATGTATTGTTTTAATCTTTTTTTTGTCTTTTTGGTATAAAGGCGTTTATGCCTGTTTGTTAAAACAATTAATTATCGCAATGTTATTTTGTTCATTTTGGATAACTTTTCATTTTTTATAGTTAAATAATACATTATGT